GTGTCAATAAACTTAATATAATAGATGATCATCAGCTACGGTTATCAATAAAACCCTTATCAGCATAGCCAGACTTACTGTATAAGTTTTATACAGCGTTTTTTGTATTAATTATATTAATTTCAACTTCGAATGTATAGTTTAGTGATATAACTAGAACGGCAGGTGTGCGTGTTTATAGTGATGGTTCAAAGGAACTTTAAGGAATATGTCACAGACTGTAGTCTAGAATGATTAATTGAAGGAAAGTTTTAAATAAATTAGATCTATGCTTAAATAAGCTAGAGTAAGACTGGTACAGACTGTTTCAACGAACAATCACGAATTCAAGGCTCCAAATCACAATATTAACAGTCTGTTCCTACAATAACCAAATCTGGCAAAACCATCTTGACGTGATACAAACATCAGTAGGCCTTCTCCAGACCTGGCTGAATCTTCACGGTATGATATAAGCAATTTGTTCGAACTTTATTTACGACGAGCTTAGATCATTAGATGTGATATAAACACTAGGTTCCACCAATACATTAGATAAAGTGATATTAAAAGTTTGCTTCAACAATACATCATTTCAGAGTAGACCATCACAATATGACAAAAACGGTTTGTTACATCATTGTACGAGTTCCGACGAGCTCGGCAAAAACTGATAGAAATAGTCTGTTCTAAAAGTACACCAACTCGAGCTAGAACCATCACGATATGACATAAACGTGCATTTTTCAATGCTAAAATGCACTGAATGGGTTCCAGTTTCCAATTATCGAGAAGGTGTTTGAAGATAGATAAATCAACAGTTTTATCTTAATAAGAAATGCGTTCAAGTGTACTGAACCTAGAAAAAGTATCAGCAAAATTTATAGGCTTGCTTTTTGAGGTAAATAATCAAGTAATCTGCAGATTATTTGTTCATCTTGGATTTCATTTCCCAGAGGTGTAAATATATCATTTTAGTCTATCTTTAATTTTTTACACGTAACTTTACAGGAGGCTTTTCGTTGGAATATGCAAATTATTTAGCTGCGTTTCATATGAACTTCTGCTTGTCATCATCCAGCTTAGTTGACAAGCTCTTGTATCGAACGGAAGACTTACTAGACCGGTGACTTGTGGCAGCCATAAGATACGTTAGAAATATTAATTTTACACACGTCTCATTTGCAATCCGAAATGGACAAATTTAATAGGAATGTGAAAAGGAAAACATCTGCAGGTTACGTAAATTTTATCATAAATTTTAAGCCTATTGTTTTTCAACACTTCGACAGCTTACGGCTTTTAAATTGAATATTTAGTGAGAGCTATCGCGAAAGTTACTTGGCGAGTTACGTGTTTGTTTAACAAAGTTAGGCGTACGTCTCGCACTTTGTACTGAAACGTTTTATTTGAAGTTAAGCCTACACTTAGTTCCAGTTTATATTATTTGTGAACTGAGGCCTGCAATTGTGTACAAGTAATAGCCCGTAACAAACGTTAAGGAAGAAAATGTAACAAATGTAGTGTGGTTGGAATTTGGAAAACTATTATTATACACTCTTCTAATTCTTGAAAATCCGTACAGGACTAGATAAAGAATGTAGTGTTCAAAAATGTAATAGACGTAATATGTGTCTTATGACAAGTATAATTGCAATAATTCTTCGTCAGCTTGTAAAAGGCGTACAGGCCGTAACTGTTATTGTATCAAATGACTTATATAAGTAGTGTTCTGTTCAATGCAATTCTTGTTGTATCTCAGTCGACCTGAAGAGCTCTGGATAGAGCGAAATGTGTCGTCGGCAATGGATATGACAAATATAGTGTATTTGTAATACTATTATTATACACTCCTAATTCTTGAAAATCCCTACGGGACTAGGTAAATAATATAGTGTTTAGAAATGTAATGGGCCTAATACTAATGTCTTTTAACAAGTAAAACTGTAATCTGTTATTGTTATGCGAGCTGGATTTCGCATTATTTTTACCAAATAATTCAAAAGAACCAACCCAACAATAGAGTACATTACAACAGTATTTCGAGAACTTTAAGTTTTGTAAACACAATAGTTTCTGAATTACTTTTGGCAGAAGTATTAATCCACATAAGCAATATTCATCTAACAACACAAATGTTCTGCCAGATAAAAAAAAAACGATAAATGACTCGGTACACAGAAAGAAAAACCAATCACATCATGATTCGAGGCAGATGATGTGTTAATGTATGTTTCAATTTCTCAATAGTATAGGACCAGTTCCATGTTTGAAAAAGTGAGCATAAAAAAGTAGTTTATTTGTAGTTCAGAAATACAAGTAACAATGTAACTTTGAACGTATTAGTAATTTTAAAGTCTGGTAAAACATCATTTTTTTTTATATTTTGTAAAAATATTTCAGAATAGAGACAGCCAATAGGATGAGCTAGCTCAAAGTCTAAAGTACAATAAAACTGTTTTGTATTTGTAGTGGTTCATACGTACACATTTTCAAACTGTCATAATGACGTTCAAATGGTGTATACGTACATATTTACTTTTATTTTAACTTCCCATAATGCGATAGATTGAAGTATCTTGCTATATTTTTGTCACACAGCCAGACGTGTGACCCCCTAAAATGCAAGGATAGTCGTCTCTAATTTTCAGCTATTGACCAGAGAAAAAGCTGTTAGCCAGAAGCATACATCGCTACAAAGTCTTTTTCTTACTCTTCGAACCGAATAATGGGATCAACTGTCACTTTATTACGCGTTTACAGTGAGAAGCATGACCAGAGGCATCACGGTTCGAGCCTTGAACCTTTCGATCCGCATCCCGACACATTAACCACTACGCCACCTTTTGTACTAAAATCACTGACCAACAGTATTATACTAACCAATTAAGAACGACAGGCAAAACATTTCTTTAACAATATCTGAAAGGTTTTATAATAACAACATACGTATAAACAACAATAATGATTGCAGTACAGATTATTAAATCAATATATATATATATAGACATGCATTAACAGTACCATTGTTTTAGCAGACAACAAAACACAGAAAAAATTATGAGGAGAAAAATAAGAGATATTTACTTTGAGAGTAATAGATGTTTGTGTATCTGAGTACGGTTTGGGAATTTTACATTAAACCAAAATGAATATTACACTTTTCAACAAGTGTTTCTATGAAAGAAAATGCTGATATTGACGAGATTCAAATGGCCTTCGTTTTAGATAAAACTATTATCTTACCTTTCATGTTGATTTTTAACCGAAGAAAGTAATAAGTCTACAGAACACTGAGAATGCCGAGTAACACAAAACTAACTTTCACTTTTCCCGAGTTTTAACACAACTACTGCAGCCTCCCGTTCGTCTAGAAACACCTTTCCTTCGCAGACGCTCGTTTCAATGTTTTTCCTGCTGTAGGTAGGTAGATAAACCCTCGTTGACACGTACGCTATAGAGCTTCGACCAGGTAGCTTTCGATTGATTTGTTTCTTGTCGCCAGAGGGCGTCAAATCTTCCTTGCTTAACTAAAACTTCGCTGCTTAGGAACTATATTACTCACGTACAAGTAAATGCTATTATGGCATTTATTTTCCTACTATTTCCTTTCTCAATTTTGTTGTTACTTTTATGGAACTTTGATCAAAAGGAAAAGTTGTTCATTATAAAGAGGGCAATGTGTCCAATGAATAAACTTGCAAAATAATTTAAAATGAAACTTTTTTTTTCACATTAATTTTTAATTCATTGGCCAGATTACTTACTTTCGAAACAATCATTTAACTTCTAAACGACAAACTATTAAAAAGTTATTTATCGATAGGTGCACGAATGTCAACAAAACCCACACTTATTTGAGTTTAACGTCATATCTATTGATTCTACATATTTGTTGTATTTTACATTTTACCACTCAACGAACAATTTAATAAATTGTTAAATAATTTCAAAATGGCATCAAATATTATAAGGATTATGACTGATATTTAATTGTTGTTTGGAGTATTAATTTTCGTTAAAGAAAATTTACTCAAAGTAAACGTTTTTTTTTTTTTAATCAACGATTCAAGAAAATAAAAATTCAAATAAAATAGCCAAACTTGCAATACTGTTTACAGGAAAACCCTAACCTTAAGTTCATGAAAATTTACTTGAAGATAAGAAAAAATACTTCTAATACCTCAAAGGCTAAGACAGGCTTTTCTTAAACAAAAATTAAACCAGATAATTACCTGTAAAATTATACACCTAGCAACTGCCCATTTTTAATTTTATATTTGCTACGTTTACTACCTTAATATTTTTCTTTATTAATATTATGCTTCTGCAGTTTATTATTATTAGTGCTATTTATAAATTATGATAAACCATTTGCATTAGGGAATGGTTTATTAAATGACTGCAAATAACAAAAATTGCAAGACACTTCAAGAATTCATACAAAACAATTGCAGCGCTACCTATACACAAAAGTTTAAACTATACTTGGGAATACTCCTATTTAATAAATAAATAAATATAACAACAATAAAATCTCATATGAATCTATATATTATATAAATTATTCTTACTTTCACCTTTACTTTAAAAGCTGTAGTAGCAAAATATGTAATAGGTTGTCTTATAAATACAAGAAAGAAGAATAAAAGTTTTAATAAAAATGTTATTTATGTATTAATTTTTTGCTACAATTAGTAATGTTACATAATATGCTTTGTAAAATTTACTTTTGGGTACTACCTTTATCTACCATAAACAATGGATTATCTATCTACGCTATGTCCCCTGCGAATATCGAAACCATCATTTTGGCGTTGTCCTCAAACTTACGGCTGAACCAAAATTTCATTATTGATATTTGGAGTTTGTTTGTTTGTAATTAAGCACCAAGCTACACAATGGGCTATCTGTGCTCTGCCAACCACGGGTATCGAAACCCGGATTATAGCGTTGTAAGTCCGCAGACATACCGCTGTGCCACTGGAGACATTATTTGGAACAAACGCACACAATGGGCTATCTGCGTTCTGTCCACCGCAGAGAATCGAACACCGGATTTTAGCGTTATAAGTCTTTAAACTTACCACTGCCCCACCGATGGATGACAAAAGCTTGTGTTCTTGTCGGAGTGTTTTAGTGCAAAGCTATACAATAGGTTATCTGTGTTCGTCCACCATGAATAATCGAACCTCGGATTTTAGTGTTGTAATTCCGTAGATTTACCACTGACTGATTGGGGAATCAATATGTAGTATGAAACAAATAAGGAAGAAAAATAGTAAAACCACATTACAAAAACTGAGATATAAATAGGTCATATTAATAAAGTTTCGAACGACAGCTTATGTAAATTATTATCTATCCACCTGTCTCTTAAAATCATCCGCATCCTGTATTTTTCATAATGTTTTGTTTGTTTTCGGATATTAGCACAAAACTACTCAAGGGCTATCTGCACCAGTCTTCCCTTATTTACAACTTATAGGCTAGAAGGAAAACAACTATTTAATAGCATCCACCGCCAACTCTCGTCCGACTGAATATTGGGCTTTGACCGTCATTCTCATAAAGAACTCACAGCCTCAAAGTGCGGAGCGCAATTTCGATGGACACAATGATCCATAGTTCAAACCGCTATTAATGGTCCACGCCTGGCACATGTTAAGACACGTGAGTACTTAATAAGAAATGAAAAAAGACAACTGGCTTATCTAAGCCAGAAATCAGTCGACTGGGCTTCACGTTCTCCCATCAGGTGTAAAGCGCCATCTATGAATAAGTTTTCAACACCGTTTTTTCACAATTGTCTTTTACAATTCAAGTTATATCACCACATGGTCTATCCCAGAATTCTAAGTGAGGACTGATTCTAACTAGAAGAAGACTGCATTTAAAAATTCAAAGTTCATATTTATTACTTCTCATATTGACTTTATCGTTCTACAACTCAAACAGACTAACCACGGCAATCCTGCCCAAATCCACAACAATCTTCTATACCTGAATGAAAACACCACTAGTTTCTTACTGCTCTAAGTCATTTGTACTCTTGACATAAACAGCGTTTTGGTCCTAAAATTCTCTAAATAATAAAGTACTGAGAAATGAAACAGTAAGTGTTTCTGTCTAGTCCTGATACCACTTTATCTTCAAGTGAGTCAATATGAAAATAGAAATAAGACAATATGAAAGCACAGTTTGAGGTTTTCGTGAACTATTCATGTTTATGTCAACCAACTTACATGGGAATTGGTAAAAATATACCTTCTTGCTGTCTCAAGCAGTGATATAGACAGTTTTCTGATGTCAAAATTGGCCATGTTGAGATCGCGTAGCGGAGATATGTTGCATTCGTCCTCGAATGTTTCTTTTTCGTAAACTAGATTGATTTTTGTGAAAATAATTACTTATAATTATTTACAACATTTTGTATTATCTAGTAAGTGAATATAATTGAATTGAATTCAATTGCTGAATTTTAATACTTTATAATTTTAGTTTTCATATAGCATTATATAATCTACTGTCTGTTGTATGTCCATGTAACTACTTCGTAGGGTGTGGACGGATCTTCACCCAAATTGGTATAAAGGTTCATTAGGTCTGTGCGGGGGTACATAAAAATGTTCAGTTTTGCATTTTGTGATTTGCGGTTTCTATGGGTGTTTTTGCATTTGTTACCACTACTTCGCCCCCTATTGATGGATCTTCACCAAATTTGACATGAAGGTTTGTTGGGTCCATATAAGAGAAGCAACTTTTCATGTCCTAATCATGAATTTACGTACAGGAGACGGGTACTCCAGCTAGTTATAAATAAAATAGGACACAATTTAAATAAAATCATAATTTCAAAGTTTTATCATTTTGGTAAACGGTTATTTCAGTTTAATGTACAGTGAAATAAAACTTCGCCATTTAATATACTTTTTATAAATAGAATTCAAAGTTAAGATCTCACAAGATCAACACCGATAACAAAATATGCTAGATGGAAAAATTACAGTAATTACTTTACCTAAAATTCATAAGTTAAAGTCACATGAAAACAGGGTTGATAATAATATAAACCAAATGAAGAATTGTACAAAACTAAATATTTTAAACTTTGTTTGGATTTTAATCTATTTTAAGAAAAAATAATGCAACTGTTTTTTTTGGATCATTTTTTGTTAAGAATATTAATATCTATAATTAATTATAGGTTTGTTTGTTTGAATTTAAGCTCAAAGCTACACAATGGGCTATCTGTGCTCCGCCCTCCACTGGTATCGAAAACCGGTTTCTAGCGTTGTAAGTCCGCAGACATACCGTTGGGCCACTGGGGAGGGGGCTTCCTTACAATAAGAACTAATTTATCATTCAAAGATTGAACCGATATTTGGATGGAAGTTCTTATAGCTAACCTTAATAGTACATTTTAAATAACTTATACTGCCTTTATATTATATGTATTGATGTTTGACCATGATGAAGAAAGGTACGCCCTTCGTAAGCATATTCAACAATTGAGCTTATGTGTATTTCATGCATTTTTATAATTGTTATACTGTTACATCATTTTTGTTTTCATACTTTTAATTGACTCTCCAACCTTTTAATTTTGTTACACTTTTGACATGTTTTCGCTGATTGATTTTTCAATCAAAATTTACGCCTAAATATTTAACAGAATTACATGGTTTTATTTTGATCTGAATAGATCTATATAAGCGTTTCCAGTGTCTAAGATATACGCTTTGCTGCGTTGTTATTTCTATTAAAAAAGGATAAATTGTGATTATCGGATTTGGTACAATTCTCTATGGAATATAATCATATTCCAAATATATTAAAGTTAATTGTACGTTATTAATCAAACTTGAATGAAATATGTCCAATATACAATGTAATCTGCATTTAAGCTATATTAAAAATTTTGATACTAGGCCTTTCATTAGTATATAAAGTAAATAGGTTAGGTTTGTTTGTTTTGAATTTCGCGCAAAGCTTCGATGAGGGATATTTGCGCTAGCCGTCCCTAATTTAGCAGTGTAAGACTAGAGGGAAGGCAGCTAGTCATCACCACCCACCGCCAACTCTTGGGCTACTCTTTTACCAACGAATAGTGGGATTGACTGTCACATTATAAAGCCCCACGGCTGAAAGGGCGAGCATGTTTGGTGGGATGGGGATGCGAACCCGTGACTCGCAGATTGCGAGTCGAGCGTCCTAATCACCTGGCCATAACGGGCCAAATAGGTTAGGATTTAAAACTGTACCGTGAGAAATGCCTGCTTAAGAAGTGTAAAAGTCTGAATAGAAATTGTTGATTT